CCCCAAAACCCCAAAACCCCAAAACCCCGTCATGATTGATGTGATTGATAAGTTAAAACGAGAATTTAAATATAATAAAATAAGAATAATTGAATATCAAAATGGAGTAGAAACTTCAAGGTTTAGAGAAGCACATTCACAACATTTTCATTGCAGGAGCAGTTCTTGGTGCCCTATCATGTTTCGCCAGAGCTGATTACAATCTCCCTCTCTATTCATTCCTTTATATTATGTGGGATCAAGATGTTGTAAGTATTTATATCGATTTATTTCAGTTCTGAATTAACAACTAATATGAAGATTTCAAATCTGTTGTTAAAGAGCTTTAAAAGGCACTTGTGCTATTCATCATTACCAATCAGTGAAAATCTAATTATCATATCTTATAGGATGAGAAGATAAAACTGCTTATCTTATTGATAGTGACTTGGTTTGTTGACTTTATTTGGATGATATACTGGATCCCTCACTGGAACTCAGATGAGATGAAGGACTGGTAGAAGGGACTACACAATTTTGTCATCTTCTTCTCTGTTATTAACTTTTTGATGAAAATTGCTATCATTTTCATGGTTGGTTTCTCATAAAAAGACAATATAAGAAAGCAAATGCAACAACTTCAAAATGCTAGAAGAGGCAGTAATAACTGATCTGATCAATTATGAAAGCAGAGATTGAGATTTTTCAATATATAGATAATTACGCCCTAAGACTATTATTTAAATAATCTGTCTCAAATCTATTAGGATATTATATTATTTCCTCTACGATGATTATATACTCAATTCATGCCTTTCTTTAATATCTTATCACTTCTTTCTTAGTATGCTTTTCTCTTTAAAACATCGTTTAAATAAATATATTGCTAAAAAAGTATAATTAATTATAAATTTCACTTTATATTTTAAAATTCAAAATGGATCAACTAAATCCTTTCCTTGCAAGACATAAGGAAAATGCTGACTTCAACTAGTATTGGTATTCCAAGGCAACTATAGGATTTTTAGTGTCAGAATGTGAACAATTTGGCAATAAGGTAGCTTTTCTATCAACACCTAGCGTTTATTTTTCTATTAAAAATAAAGATATAAAAGCTAACTCAAAATGCTTTGATGTAAGTTTTAAATATTTATATTTTGAACATAGTTTGATCAAAAATTTGCAAAAGATCCTAATTTTGTCTTTTATGATTTCAATAAGCCTGAAGACATTTCAAAAGAATTTGAAAAATACTTTGATATGGTTGTTATTGATCCTCCTTTCATTACCAGAGAAGTTTGGGAGAAGGTATTTTACAAAATATTTTAATCTTATAGTACTCTGAGGCTGCAAAGTTTTTAGTCAAAGATGGAGGCAAAATACTTTTAAGTACAATCGATGAAAATGAACCATTTATTATGGAATTATTGGGAGCTAGTAAAAGAGCATTCAGGCCATCGATCCCTAACTTGGTTTATTAATACAGTCTCTACTCAAACTACGACAGTGAGGGCTTGAATAACAAGAATCCAGAAATACCTGAATTTGATTGAGTTTATATCAATTGGAGCAATAATTAATGAGATAATTAGACTTAAATAAGCAATTTATTCTACAAATATTTATAGTTAATTTCATTTCAACTTCATAATCCTTAGAAACTCTTCTTTCGTTAATGGCTCATTCTTTATCACTTCAAAGTTTTTCTTGAGATTTTCCATTTTTTTCATTCCAACTAGAGTACTAATGTGGCATCTGATTGGCATTGATCTCACAAGTTAAAGATGTTTAGCCACAGTATCCTTTATGTTTGTAATTTATGGAATAGTGGTGCTTTCGATTTTCCCTTCCAATATTGGTTTGCTTGCAATTAGGTTCATTTTAAGCAAATTGCAAACTGCCACCAAAATCTTTAACTCGCTTTGTGCATTAGCTGAATTCGGATCATGGAATTCTTGCCATTTTTCAACAAATGCTTCAGGCATTGCTACCCCCATTGGCACTTGAATGAACTTAAAATTATGATTTTCCTTTCCTCCAATTTATTCAGCCATTTCTATGCATTTTTGCAGATTCAAATTAATTTTTTCTTCATCAGGTTTCCCTCTAAAGCAAAGCCATGTAGCCATTCCATAATACTAAAGCTACTTTTGTTATATTTTTGTTTCATAATACTCAAATGCTCTCTAATTTCATAATGTTATAGCTTTTAATATACTTTTAATTTATCAAGGTATTCATCATTGTTTTGACAGACAAGAGACCATGACTCATAAGAGTTGTGAATATACATCAAATCAATAGCTTCTACTCCTAAGTTGTTTCGACTTTAATTAAATTAGTTCTCTAGAAAAGCAGGATGCATACAATGTATTCCATTCGCCACATCCTCTGGTTTGATCTAAATATAAACCTAATTGAATATTCATATTTACCTAATTATCCTCTATCAAGTCTTGAATTAAAATTGCAGCTGGTATTCCGTTATCTGAATCATCCTATTAATTTATTGTAAAAGGAAAATAAATTACTGGTATATAACCATTCTTAGTGCAAATAAACAATTCATCTCGATTTATTCCATACTTCCTGATTAATGTCTTCAATGCAGCTCCAAAAGTCCTTTCAGACTTTTGGCATCTATAATTTATTGCTGTGTCAATAACATTTACTCCTCCACTTAGAACTAATAGCTTCATAGCATTATAAAGATCAAAATCAGTTGCATCATCTGGAGCACCCAGATATGAACCTAATCCTATAGAAGATAATTCTAGTGGAATGTGCAAAGGCTTTCTAAAATTACGAGAAGGAACTATAAATATTATTTAATATAGCAAATTTACTGCCATTTTAAGTACTAGCTCTTTGTTTGAATCTTTGAGTTCCCTCAACTGTGCAGAATCCTTAAACTGGAACATCTTTCTTCAAATCAAATTTATTTTGAGTATCCTCAAGGTATTCCTCAAATTTCTCAAAATTCTGAATGAAATCTTATAATTATCCTCTGTACCTATCAATTTTTAACTCCTATTCACTGTCGATAAGTTTAGCTTGCATTTATGGCTATTTGGAACCCCAAAAATACTATCTCAATGAAACCTCGTTAATTATTGGAAATTATTTGAAAGGAAACTTTGATTTAAATTATTTTTGAAGCAATTTTTGACAAATTTTCATTGATGGCAGTAAATTTAATATAATTATTGGAATTTTAATTTTGTTTAGTTTTTCAAGTCCAAATTGATCTGTTTTTGCTTTCTTGGGGTTTTGGGGTTTTGGGGTTTTGGGGTTTTGGGG